GGAGAGGACAGAGCCAGAGAGGAGGGGGAGGTTGAGTGCCTGGCTGGTATTCCCTAGCGGAAAGGAGATAAAAGCTCTGAACTGTGCTGAACCCCAGTTCCAACAGCACTGAACCCAGTTCTGGGCGAGACCCTGGGGACCCAGGCTCATACGGAGAGAGTCTGGGCTGTAAGGCAGAAACCCAGGGGAGTGGTGAAAGGAAGTCCCAGAGGCACGCACGTTTCACGTAGAGGACAGACTGTTGACTGTGCTGCTGGATTGCCCTAGCAGGAAGGAGACAAAAGCTCCAGACTGTTCTGAACCCCACTTCCAAGTACACTGAACCCCAGTTACGGGCTCATTGGGGGAGAGCCTAGACTGTTTAGTAGCAGAGGAAACTCGAGGGCACCTTTCTCTCAGAGGTGCTTGCAGCGAGGACTGAAGGACACTGAGGAACACTGAGACTCAGGAACCTTACAGGGTGGGGCTGACAGTAAGCCAAGGCTGTAGTCTCCACCCTGAAACTTCGCCCCATCCAAGCTGAGCACAGAGGCTTTTGCAATTTTCCAAGTTTAGTCAAATAAGGCTGTCTCCTGGCATAGACACAGTTGATCCTCACAGCCAATTGGCCTGGAAGTCAGTTCCTCTCAGTGATACCAACAACAATCAAGACTTAACTACAACAAGGCTGTCCACACAGTCCACAAAAGGGGGCAACAACAGTGTCCACCTCAGATAACTAGGAGATTGACCCACTGAACCATATAGGACACCTTAGCACACAAAGCCACCCTACCAGCTCAGGGAAGCTGCGAAAATGCCCAGACAAGGAAACAGATCACAAACAAAAGAAATGGAGGACAAAAAGTGACTGGATATAGAGTTCAAAACCACGCTTAAAGGTTTTTCAAGAATTTCCTAGAAAAGGCCAATAAAATAAACGAGACCTATGAAGATATGAAAAGGGATCAACTAGAAATAAAGAATACATTGTCTGAAATAAAAAAATATTATTCAGAGTCTTAAAAACAGAATGGAAGATCGCAAGAATCAAGTCAAAGATTTGGAACATAAAGAGCCAGAGGACATACTTCCGCAGAAGCAAGAAGACAAGAGAATCCAGAAAGTTGAAGATAATGTAAGAAGCTTCTGGGACAACTTCAAGCGAACCAACATCAGAATTACGGGGGTTCCAGAAGAAGAGAGAGAGCAAGATACCAAAAACATACCAGAAGAAATAGTGACAGAAAACTTCCCCCAACTGGTGAAAGAATTAGGCCTACAAGTCCAGGAAGCGCACAGAACCCCAAACAAAAGGAATCCAAAGAGGACCACACCAAGACACATCATTTAAAATTCCAAGAGCAAAAGACAAAGAGAATATTAAAAGCAGCAAGAGAAAAGCAGGTTGTTACCTATAAAGGAGCAACCATACGATTGTCAGCAGATTTCTCAACAGAAACCATACAGGTCAGACGGGAATGGCAAGAAATATTCAAGGTGATGAATAGCAAGAACCTACAGCCAAAAATAATCTACCCAGCAAAGCTATCACTCAGAATCGAAGGCCAGATAAAGAGCTTCACAAATAAAAAAAAGTTAAAGGAGTTCATCACTGCCAAACCAGAATTATATGAATTGCTGATGGGGGTTCTTTAGGAAGAGGAAGAAACTAAAGATAAAAATTATGAACAACAATTACGTAACTATCAACAAGTGAATCTAAAAACCAAGGGAATTAAAAAAAAAATCTGATGAACATTATTAATTGGTGAATATAATAGAATCAGAGGTATGGAAGGCGAGTGAACTGATGATTTTTGGGAAAAGGGGAGTGGGGGGTGCGGAAAGAGACTGAACATAAACTGTGCACCAATGGATGAGGACAATGGGATTGGGGAAAGGGCAGAGGGTGGGGTAGGAACCTGCAGGAGGGGAGCAATGGAGGGAGAAAAAAAATGAGGAACATTTGTAATAATATGAACAATAAAGATTTATTAAAAAACAAACACACAAAAAAACACCTTACACCTGTGGATGAAGAAAGTGGCAGGGGAATCAGGTGGAGGGGAGTATGGGGGGGGGGGGGAAGGAACACCTGTAATAATCTGAACAATAAATATTTATTATATAAAAATAAATAAAAATAAAAACATTATATAAAGAAAAAGAAATCCCACCAGTAGCCAAGCAGTGGGGACTGAGGCCATTCATGGTGGCAGGGGGCACTTTGGGACTTGCCCAAAGTAGTCGACTGCAGTCTGACAGGGCTGGAGTTTGAACCTAGCCCCTCTGAATGCCTGCTGCAGCCACCCTTCCACTCCAGGAAGCCGTCCACACTCACCAGTTTCCCTCTGACTTGGGCTGAGAGCACCTCAGAGCTCTGGGCCTGGAGCTTCCCGGCCACTACCATCTCGGAGCCCTTGAAGAACAGCCGGAAGTTGTGCTGCGTGACCTCCTCCACAGCACTGCCTGGGTACTCGAAGGTCACTGCGGTCAGCAAGGGGTTGGCCACCTCCTGGTAGAAGTCCTGCAAAGTGGGGGGTGTCACCAGGGCCGGGCAGGGTCATCCCAGACTCACCAAGCCCTCAGGGGGAGGCTGGCACCTGCAGCTGCAGGGCGGAGTCCGAGTCCTCGTAGATGCGCCGAGCCAGGCCGCCATTGTCCAGCGCCAGCTTCTCCAGGAAGGCGTAGCTGACGTCGAAGCCAAAGCCCAGGCAGAAGAGGCTGTACTGACCGCCTATGGCCTCCTGCACATTCTTCTGGATCTTGCTGGGGTTGGTCACGCCTGGACCCAGCGTTTTGGGGCAGGGGTGAGAAAACAGGGATTTGCTCAGGGGATATTTGGAATCTCAGAGCCAGAGAGGCCTCAGGGACTCCTCACTTCCCTTGAACCACTTGCAGCCCCAGTGATGCCCCCTGGGCAGTGTGCCCTGGAGTTGCGCTGTGCCTCACCCACAGTGGGGTCGCCATCAGTGAGGAGGAGGAGAAGGGACACGCTCCCTGAGGGCAGCTGCTCCTCCCGGGTGGCTGTCTCCAGCAGCTGCACAGCCATCAGCATCGCATCGTTGATATTGGTTCCTGAGGGACACACACTCTCAGGATGTCTCTCAGGTGGGGTTCATGTCCGGGGGCCCCAATCCTGCAGGGCTGCCCAGGTGCTCACCTCCATGGGCCTTGAGGGTGTTAGCATATTTCTTGGCCTCCTCCACGTTCTGGGTCGAAGCTGGCACCAGAGATGGCTTCCACTGGGTTGCCTCCCTGCTGAAGGTAATGAGGTTGAAGTGGTCTTCGGGCCTGAGGTCCTCTAGGATCTTGATGAGGGCTTCCCGAGTCTGGTCAGGGGAAGGGGAAACAAGGTCAGGGGGTCCTCCTTAGGGTTCATGTGCCCTTGGGCGGCACCCCCAGGGCCACACCTGCAGTGGGAACATGGTGAAGGCCCCAGTGTCAGGAGCAGCTCTGACCTCGGTCTCTGGAAGCCTCCTTCCCGGGAAGTTGGAGGGGGGAGGGTCTGCCTGCTAGACCAGAGCTGATGGTGTGAGGCAGCTGAGAGTTTTCAGGGCCCTGCCCTGGCTTATGGTACCCACCTGCCGGATTTTCCTGCCCATCATGGAGCCACTGGTGTCAATGACGAAGATCACATTCTTAGGTATCATGGACAGACCCTCTGGGGCAAAGTAGTGCACAAAGTAGCCATTCTCGATCTATGACCAGAGTGAGACACACCCCAGCTGATGAGAGCTGCAGTCCTGTCCTGCCCTGTCCCACCCCACCTCCTCACCCCAAATCCCCGGGTCCCATCCTCTTTTCATTTAAGCTCCTCAGTCACAGTCCCACTGCTAACCTCCTCTAGTCCATGACATCTTTTTTTCCTTTAAGACTTTACAGGTGAAAGTATTACAGATGTCCTAGTTTTCCCCCATTGGCATCTTCCAGTCTGCCGTCCCCCTCCGGTCCTATACCACCCTATGGTCTGTGTCCATGGCTTATGCACATATGCATACAAGTCCTCTGGTTGGTCTCTTCCCACTCACACCCCCACCTCCTCATTCCTCACCATCTCTTAGGACTCAGTGGAGCTACTCTTTTGCTGAAAACTTCCGTGCTATGCATGACCCACTAGAACTGTACTTTGCCTCCTATTTGTTTGAATAGCTGAGGCAGTTTAGAGGTAAGAAGCCTTCTTTAGCAGATGAAACTTTCTGCTTCCGAAAGGGAATTCTTTCAGGGACAGCAGAACTAAACTGCGTGTTTTCTGTCTGTTGCCCTTGGTGCACACTAACCAGCAGGAGCCATTTTTTTGGCTTTTCTTCTCCAACAGCCAGGCTCAGGCTCCAGAGGCTGGAGGGATTTCCTGGTTATTCTGCTCTCCCTGGAGCCCACGCACCTGAAGGGAGCCTCCCGAGAGGGTGCGGTTCACATCATAGCGGACGATGAAGTCACCATCCACCACTGTGTCCTCTTGCTCTGCAGACTTCTGTTGCTGGGACAGCGTCGGCTTGAATCGGATGTGAGCCTGGAGGAACGACCGACTGGGCTGATGTTGGGGAGCAGCGAGGTTATGCTAACATCCCTCACCCCATCTGAGAATCGACCAGGATGAGAATTCCACCTTATGCCAAACGCCAGGGAACTTTCTCTCAGGCTGGGCTGCCAGGTGGGCGGCTTCAGTACAGACCATGGGTGTGAGTGAGGAGCCTCTGCTCTGGAGCCATACCAGCAGAGCCTGGGCTCAGGATGTGTGTGATCCAGCCTCCAATCTTCCCCCTGGTCCTGGGACCCTCAGGTACGTGTCCTCTCCCAGGAGCCCCCAACCTCAGGCGCAAACCAGCGCCTGCCCTCCTCCTCTAGGACTTGCCTTCCTCATCTGCCACATGTCAGTGCGGACACAGACACCTCAGAAGCTCGCCAGCTGAGAGAGTCTGCTCAATTGTCCCGCTCTCTGGAGATCCAGCTCATCGGGCTGGCCTGAAGACAGTCCCCTCGGTACCCACACTTCCCACCCACTGTGGCAGGCCCACCTTGGTCTGGTTCTGTGAGACGGTGAGGGCCTCTGCAAGCTCATTGGTCATGAAGGTGCTCTCTGTCTCCAGAAAGCTGATGCCCTGAGGCTCGAAGACGTGAATGTCCATCTGGAAGAAGAAATGGGTCACGGGGTTAGCCAGGAGCCAGGCCTGGGCCTCTCAGGAGGCAGAGAGGGCCTGAGGGCCACCCTCGGCAGCACAGGGTCCTCTAGGAGGCTCCTGGGAGGAGGCAGCTCCGGGTACCTGCAGGTGCTTGACCAGCTGCCGGGGCTGGACTTTCAGCAGCAGCTCATACACTCCCAGACGCCGCTTGAGCAACTCCTCATACACCAGCTCGAAGGTGACCTTGCCAGCGGGAGCCACACTGACCGATACCTGGAACTGCTCCATCTTTCTCCCAGTGGCCCTGGGGGAGGAGGGCATCAGGCCTGCCCCTCCAGACCAGGGAGGGTATGGATACTGGAGGCAGAAGCAGAACTAAAGGCAGGGACTTCTGCCCCACCCCACTGGGGTCTCCCACATTCCCTTGGGCTCACTTGACGAGGCCAGCACTCTCCCCTCTGGCCACGGCTGCACTGTACTGCTCCTGGGCTGCATCCTTCTCCTTGATGTTCCCTGGGTAGGTCACACCGTCGATGATCCTGGGGCAGGAGAGTGGGTGCCGTGGAGAGTCTGGTGGTGGGGTGGGGGAACTCTCTCCAATCACCTCCTCTCCAGGGAACCTGTCTGTGACTTGCTGTGCCTCCTGGTAGAGTGACTCCTACCTTTACCAGATCTCACCCATTTATTATGCGCCTACTGTGTACAAGACTGTGCAGGAGCCAGGGTAAGGGCGGGCAGCCTCTGCAAGGTGTGCCAGGCCTCCCTCTACCCTGAGGCACGTACAACCTAAGTGAACATTCGTTTTACTGAACAGACAGGAGAGGAGGGTTCCAGAGGAGGCAGGGCTGCGCTAAGTCCTGGTCTCTCTTTTCCCTTCTGCTCTGGCCCCACATTCCAACTACCCCTGCCCCTCATAGACTGTCCCAGAGGAACCTGCCCACCTCCAGCAAGTGTTTTCTGAGCTGTGTGTGCACCCATCCCTGTGGCCAGTTTTGTGGGGCAGGCTGAGGAGGAGGGAGATGCATTCTCCCCTGCCAGTTGGAGACAAAAGGGCTAAAAGGCATGAACCCTCTTCCCACCAGCACAAGGCAGGGAGGAATGCAGAGGTTGGTGGAGCGAGGGGTGAAAGGAGGAAGGGATGGAGGGACAAATGTGATATGGATGGAGATGAAGGGAGGGATGGGAATGGAGGAAGAGATTGGAGGAAGGGAGAGCTAGAAGGATGAAAAAAGGGAGTGGGGCATGGCTGGAACATCTCTGAGAATACGTTCCTGATAAAGCCTCTGGTTCCGTGTGCTGCCTGCAGATGCACACAACCTCATGTCAGGAGGAAGTCCTCTCTCCTAAGGGACTTGAGGGGAGGGGATGGCAGTGCTGGATGGGGAGAGGACGAAGAGGCCAGCAGGAAGGCACCTACATGGAGAAGTTGGTGATGAAGGCTTTCTTGGGCAGCTCTATCTGGAAGGTGGCCTCCTGCATGGAATCTGCTTTGTTGACCACCCTGCTGGTGATGACCGTGTGGGCAAACCGGGAGGAGACCTTGGAGTCCACAGTGAGGCTGTAGATGTCGATGGCATTCTGTAGCAGTGAAGGAGGAGGGGGGGAACTGTCACAATGCCAGTCATGCCTGTAGCAATGCTTTTCCAGAGCCTGGCATTGACCTAGGTCCCAAACCAAGCCTGGCCGGACCCCCACTGACTATGGATGGCTCAGGCAAAACCCTGCGAGGCATTTCACATGTGGATCTTTCTCTCAAATAAGAGGCAGCTCTGTGCTCCATTCCCCAACCTACACTGACAGGGGCAGGGACCAGTCTGTCAACACACAGAGGGTGGAAGGTGGAGCATGAGCCCAAGAGTGTCTGTGAGTGGACTCCCACTTTTCCTGACCCTGATTGGGATCACGAAGCTCACGGGCTTAGCTCTGAACAGTGTAAGGGCAGCAAACAAGTCCTTTGATTTCAGGTGACCAGAGTGGAGGAACACAGCTCCTGCCAGTCTCCACAGGGGCCTCCAGGAGATGGGAGAAAAGAAAGGAACCAGGGTCCAGTCTCTAAGAGCTGGGAACGTTCTTTGCCCCCTTTCCCTGCACCCACCCCCATCCCCAGTTGCCTGCCCTGTAGCTCAGGCTCTTTCCCTGCAGAGATGGTCGGTCACCCAATTCACTGACCCAGGCACTTGCTCTTCGATCCAGGTCTAAGGTTCACATATGCTCACATAAGAAGCCTTACACATCTCCTGCCAACCTGCATATGAAACACTATGCAGGCTCCGTTCACCTGCACACACAGCCTAGCAGAGGTGGGTATCTGGCTGATTGACTTGTTACACACATGAGTGTCTGCTCTGTGCCAGGCACTGTACTAAGCACTTCATAGTGTTACAGGTTCCATTTCCACAACAAACCTCCAAAAGGGATCTATTATTATCCTGCTTCACTGATGAGGAAAGGGAGACAGGAAGCATCATTACCTTGTGGCCATTCAGCCAGGGGTGGGCGAGCTGGGCTCACCATCCCACTCCTACCTCCCCCCACTGCCGGCCTCCACGCGAAACTTGCTAACCTGTAGCTCCCCACCTGGAACATGGGAATAGGATCACCCCTTCTAGCAAGCAGGGAGAGAAGAGGGAGTGTCTATAAAGCCCTGGGGACATGCCTGGTGGAGGATCAGCACCATATTTTTGCATACACACAGATCTGTGCTCATTTGCACACTCACCCTCACACAAGCTCTCACTCATTCACCAGCTCATACCACTCACACTCTGGTGCGCACACAGGTGCCCAAGGCACCTGCTACCTTTTGGGCATGGGTGGTCTGGAGGACAGCCAGCAGCGGCAACAGGACCAGCAGGATGGCACAGTTGCAGACAGAGGCTGGGGGCTTCATTTGGGCCCAGTGCCTGGCAGGCTGCTTCTGAACCTGAGAGAAAGAGGGGAATGAATTAGTAACCTTCTTGCTGCTCCGCCCCTCTGGGGGCAGGTCCCAGGAAATTGGGATCTACAAGCCAAAACCTGCAGTGGACTCAGATAAGCAGGCCAACTGCAAATGTCCTGTGGACCTTGGCTGGGGGCAGACACATGTACAATAAGTCCTAGTATCATCAGGATAGATTCTTGAAAAATGTAACTTTAAGTAAAAAGAGAAATGAGCTCAGTTTCTGTGGCATAAACAAACATCACCAAACCTCTAAAAAAAAAAAAAAATCCAAAATTTTGAAATCAGCATGAACTTTACATATATTTAAGAAAAATTCATAAAGATAGGTTAAGATCCTACTTTTCCCTCTTGCTTATTCCAGTTTAGGGTGTTGATGCCCAAAGCCTCTCCCAGCAGCTCAGGGTGTAAAAGATGAGACCCCAACCTGGATGGGACACCATCCATTGAAGGTCAACCTTCCATACACCCACATTAGCCTGGAATGATGGAGACACACAGGCTTATCTCACATGCACATCTTTGGGATGTGGGAGGAAACCATGCAGAAAACCCACAAAGACATGGGGAGGACATGTGAACTCCACACAATGGCCCCCTCTAGGAATCGAGTTTTTCTTCATCAACATTATAAACCAAAGAGGTTGAATAAAATAACCTTACTCGAGGACCTGCTACAGTAGGAAAGGCAGGCTCAGATGGGAGCTAGGTATGGGCATACCTTCTGAAAGGTCTAGGACCTTCCAGGTCACTATTACCCTTTACACCAGTTGGTTCACCAACAAGCACCCTGGGGTATGGGGACACAACTGGGAACCAGCCCACTCTCCATAAGCCCAGCCTGGAGGGGAAGGAGGCATGGCTGGGAAGAGGAGGGCAGGAGGAAGGAGCCTGCAGGTCAGGTTGGTGTGACTGGGTAGTGGGGCCCTACAAGCCCTGAGCACTTCTTGTGATGTCTGAGAGGGGCAAGGCAGAATGGATCTGCCTTATTCCTGGGGTGAGGGAGGCGGGGCCCAGAAGACCCCTTCTTTCTCCTGGGGTTCAGGCCCCATTAATCTAGCCAGGACTCTGACTTCAACTCCAGCAAGGCCCCAACACAAGACCTGCACTTTAGCAACACAAACCGAGAGCCGAAAAGGTGCCAAGCCTTGTGGCCCAGAGGCCTCCCTCAGGGGACTTTACTGAACGAGAGGAACAAACAAGAAGGGACAGAGCTCCTGAAGGGGGTTAGTCAGTGTGCTGGCCTGTACACCCGAGTGACCTACATGGAGGCAGTCATGCCAAGGGAGTCCATGAGTCATGGATTGAAGGAGAAAGGCCAGATGGCTTCTCCGTCAGCACAAGGCAGTACCTTGTCATGAGGGAGGCCCCAGGCCTGGGGTAAGATTACCAAGGATTTTAGACTTTCCTTTAATAAAGTTGAAATGTTTTTTATAAAACAATTGGTTTTAGAGGAAGGGAGTCAGGGAGGAAGACAGAGGGAGGGAGAGAGAGGGGAAGAAAGAGAAATGAAGATAGAAAGAGATATCGATGTGGGAGAGAAACATGTACCAGCAGCCTCCTGCAGACTCTCACACAGGGGATCAAACCCACCACCTTTTGACGACTCTCCAACCAACTGAGCCATACCAGCCAGGGCTATGTTGAAACGCTCTTAAAACAAATAACAATAAAACAAATAAAACACAGCTGGCGCGTGTATCCCCAGTGGCTCAGGAAAGGCCTAGCTCCTGGGCCAGGAGCCACAGATGGGGTAAAGATGCTGCAGACAAGCGTGGCCAGGTGCCACATCCCGGGCTGGGGAAGGAGGACTCCATGACACTAGCTCTGGGGAAAGAGAGGGGCAGTTATCTTGGAACCCTGGGCAGTGACTGGCTTGCAGAGGGCTGGAAAGGAGTCTCCTCCATCAGCCCTGCCGTGGCCAGCGACAGTCGCATCTGGCCCTGGGAAAGGGCATCCTGGACTTTGGTGCTGTCTGTGGCTGTTCCCCTTCCTTCTGGGGACTCCAGCCAGAAGCCTCGTCTGTGTTTGTAATGGCACCTCTCGCCCTCTGGCTCTGACACGATTGGCATTACACAGGGCACATACCGCCTCTACACACTGGGGGAAGAGCCTCCCCAAGGAGCCCAGTGAGCTGGCCTAGGCCCTGTCCCTCAGAAGGTCTGCTCCCTCAGGGCAGAGAACACAGGCCCAGCCTGGAAACAGCTATATAAGGAGGCCAGGCCAGGCCAGGGCGTGGGAAAGGCTCAGAGCCGCCAGCTCCACCTGCCCATGGGACAGGCAGGGCTTCCCTACAGGCACAGTCCTGAGCCAAGCATGGGAGCCCAGGCCCTGCCAGTCCAGCCCTGGACTGTACGAGGTTTTGCTGTGACAGCTGGACGGACCTCTGTACTTCCTGAATCTGAAAGCTCCATGCACACAGGGGACACTGCAGCCACCTCTCGCTGTTCACTGAATTCAAGAGGAAAAAATGACACAAGCCCAGAACCCAGGCTGCCCAAGGTGCAGGCAGAGCTGTGAGCATAGCAAGGGAGGGTTCACCTGGAGTTGGAAGAGTGGGGAGTAATTCAGGAAGCAGACTGCCACTTGCCACAGGAGCCTTGAGTGGTTTTGACTTTGAGGGATGGGAGACGGTGAGAAGGCAGAACAAGGGTGCAGGGGGCGAGGGCCTGCAAGGTATCTGGCTCTTGCAGAGGCTTGGGGTCCTTTGAAGCATCTCACTGGCTTCTGTGGAAGGCAGCGGGAGGGGGAGCCCAGGCCCCACCAGTTTCACTTTGTACATGTGGCCTGGTTAGTGCAATGGGCCTCAGCTCAACTCCTATCAAATACAAGGGGAAACTGAGCTCAGAAGAGAGATGGTCTAAGGTCACACAGATCAGCACCAGATCTCCACATTCATGGCTCTTTCTAGGGTAGAACAGTGGCAATAGCACCTCAGGATCACGTAGGTCCCTCCCAAAGACATGGACTGGTAAAAAACATGCCCTACCCCTCACGTAGGGGCCATGCCAGTTCCAAATAACACTCTCCAAATGCCAGGGCCGCTTGGGCATCCTCTTTATTGGTGTTTCCCAGGGCCTGGTGCAGAGTGCCTGGGCTGAGGGGCCCGGGGGAGGGGGGAGGGGTGGCCGTCCCAGAGGTAACAGGTGAGCAGGGGAGTGCTGGCATGAAAGAGTTCTTGGGAAAGACTCCTGTGTCTCGGTGTTGGCAGTGTCCAGGGAAGTGGCATGGCATGTACTTCTCAGCCAAAGACACTCTTGGCAGGCTCAGCTTTCGGTTTATCAAAGACGGTCTCAGTGCCGGTCCGGGTGCGGCTGAATACAGACGGTGCGGCAACGCCGGCTTGCTCTGTGGGAAGGATGCGGAGGTTCAGAGGCCCAGCCTCCTGGCGAGGGAAAGCCTCTTTTGTGGGGAGCCCCTGAGCTCTGGACTCTTAGAAAAGACCCATAGGACCCCTCCCCCAATCTCACCCCCTCCTTCAGACACACATCTGCACCCCCTCAGCTCCCCATCCCCCTGGGGACACTCACCACATTCCTGCATGACCTGGTAGGTCTTGGACTTGATCGCCTGGTTCTTGGTCAGGTTCCCTCGGGCCCCCTTCAGGTCCTCCTCCTTCACAGGGGGGCGCTTCTTCTTGATGGGGGCTCCCTCAGAGCCAGCCTTGCAGAGACCAGAGCTTCCTTAGAACCCAGGCCTTCAGGCCGAGACCCGTTCCCACCTCTCCCTGCTCACTGAATTCTAGCCAGTCCAAGGCCCCATTCATACAGGAAGCCTTCCGGCGATGAATCACCCCCTGACCCCTCGACCCTAAGTCTCTCTGTCCTTTTCCACAGATTAGGAGCTGTGGCCTCACAGTCTGCCTGGCTGGCCAACCTCCAACTTGGGCACAGTGGACAACAGGGAAAGGCGCTCGCTTTGAGGCTGAATTACAGGCTTTCGGTGAATACCAAGACCTGCTCCCCAGGGGGTCCCTTAGGTTTGCTCCTCTCCTCCCAAATTGCCAGTATTTACCTTGCGGGCTCTGGGGGTGGGAATGGGGTTGAGGAATCAGATGCCCATTAGGCACATCCCCATCAGCATCTACCGATAGACTGATCTGTCTGTCCCTTCAGAGCTGGGTACACCTAGCCTCAGTGTCTTCCCTCCCTCAACCCCTTCCTCCTTCCTAAGTCCTAGGGGCAGGCACAGACTCCCTATTCCCTGAGCCTGGGCTGGTGGGCCATACAGTATACCCTACAGACACACATCCTGCTGGAAACAACCGGGCAGAGGGTACACCCTCAGATCCAGCCTCACGTGTGTACAAACACATGTACACACACACACACAGCTATAAACGTGTACAAACTGCCAGTCACACAAGCAGCTTCTGCACACAAAAGATCTAGAAGTACCACACATTTTCCCTACCCCTCCTAACAAGCCATGGACTGCCATAAACCCAAGCTGAACAGGGACCCTCAGATAAGGTGGGCAGGGACTCTCCTCCCCAGCCCCCACCTCCCAGGAGCTGCAGAGCTCCCATGTTTATGCCTGGAGCTCAGCTCAAGACACAGCTGCCAGAGTTGACGGTGTCCAGCTGTCCACCCCCACCCCCACCCCCACTGTACCAACACGCCTGTGCTGGGCTCTCCTACCTGGGACATGGTGGGTGCTGAGTGAGAGCTGCTCCGTAGGCTCCTCTGGCAGCAGGAGCTGGTGGGAGATCTGAGTGCCCAGCCCTCTGGAGCTTATATAGTCCACTGCCCGTCCTGGGAAGTCACTCCCCCTGCTCCGACCGGCTCCCCGACCCCGATGATTCAGGTCCACACAGCCACTGGCTTCAGAGTTTATTCTCGGAGATGATAGGGGATGGCTGAGCACTTCTGTCCAGGGGGCTGCGGCCCTGGTGACAGCTGGGGAGCCTGCACCCTCAGAGACAGCTGCTCCACTTCCAAGCGGGAGGTGCTGGGACGGGACTGGCAGTGACTTGTGTTTATGAATGTAGATGCTGGAATGTGTGTGGCAGTAGGGGCTGTCCATCTGTGACAGTCTATCCCAGTGTGGGGTGTCCCCGAGAAAGGGAAAGCACGAAGCCAGGCTGACCGCTTTGAGCTTGTTTTTCTTTCTCTTCTATCCCTTCCCTGGATTCTAGAGGAGAGACCCCTCCCTGCACAGGAGGAGGGTGGGCCTCCCTGTCTGTGTCTCCGTGCTCTGCTCACTGCAAGCTCCCTGGGCCCTCAGGGTGAAGCACAGGGCATCCCTGGCTCACAGGTGGAGACTGCGGCCACAGGAAGCCTGGGGAACTCTCCATCTGTGGCTCTGCTGATGCCCCGTCCTTTGTCTGGCTCCCAGAGCACATTCAGCAAAGAGATGAAGAGCACAAAGGACCAGGAGGAAACTACCTTGTGGCTGTGCGTGAGCTGATGATAGGAATAGCACTGAGCCTCCGAGACAAGGTCACCAAAGGGCCACTGGCCTGAGGCACTCAGGCTGCCGAAGAGGTTGGGGAGAGTGAAGCCCATTGTAGGCATTGATGGTGGAGGGAGGGGCAGGCCGAGGGCTCACTCAGTTCTCTGCTGCTAGCTACCCGTCCCTGAGAGAAGACCCCACAGGACTCTAAGATTGAGGTGGGGTGGGCAGTATTGTGAGGTTATTTATACTTGAAGGCTCCAAGCAGACGGGACCCAACCAGGCTGATATTTGGTCATCCTTCAAACCCCACCCAAATCCCTCCTGCCTGGTCCTGACCCCGGAGGCCAAGGCGAAGGCTGCCAGTCTCCATCGGAGATGAGTGCTGACATGAGGAATGCCTTCGGACAGCTATGGGCATAGATGCAGGCTCCTAACATGGGCCAAGAGGCAGCGAAGGCAGACTGGGCCTGCGAAGGCCCAGCTCCCTGGATGAGTGCTTCATCACTGCCCCCTCCCCAGCTGGCTCTGCCCAGGGAGGCACCTGCCTTCTAGGCCCGTGGCCTCAGCGACAAGACTGTGGGACTGCTCACTCCTCACACTCCATCTCCCAGCACCACTTGCTCCTCAGGGAAGCTTTTACTCACAATAGCAGGGAAGTGGAAATGGCGAGAATATATTGGGGTTTTCTTCTCAGCAGATTTTGGTTCCCACATCTGCTCCAAGGCGATGAAAGGTCCGCTCTTACTGTTTCTTGGGGAGAACCTTCCAACCCACTGGGGAAATTTTCTTGACTCCACTAAGCTGTTTCAATTCAAGAGAACATACACTAACAACCACAAAAGTGATGGTTTCTTTAAAAAAAATAATAATAAGACATCAAATTTTATTGTAAACCATTTTACAATGTAACTACATTGTCTTCCCTTTCATTTCCAAAATGTTTTTGTGAACTGTAACACCACCGATTAAACACCCCATTAGGCAGACAGTAGAAGTAGGCCATGGTTTGCTCACATAGGTCTGGCTTCTCATAAACTTCATGCAAAGAGAAACCAAGTTAAACCGACCCACCGCCCAGGAGCTCAGGGTGCCACCGACGACAGTTGGACCAGAGGTTCCCTCGCCGAGAACGAAGCCCTTCAGGCCACCAACATCACACAGGGTGAAACAGAGTGCTCTCCCCTCCTAGTTGCAAGTGTGTGAAGCTCCTGAAAGCTACCCTACACCCTACAAAGTGGCTGCCCTGGCTGGTGGGACGTTCCCAGTGCCACCTATGCTGGCCCAGATGCAAAAAGGCCAGTGAACTGCAGTGTGGAGGGCAGAGTGGGGCCCCCTCAGAGGGGACTCTGGGCAGCAGCCACAGCTTACACTGCTGAGGGGAAGACACAACTTGGATTTGAGCCAATATATATTTTCCATGTAGAGGTGAGACAGGCCAACCTTAACCCAGGACTTCCTGTTGCCAGGAAGGGCGCAAGTTAAAGCTCGAGGCAGGTGGCCACCAGTGTGCCCGAGGGCGAGCTGATGGGCCACAGACTTCGCCTCGCAGGTCTGCAGGCTGTAGCCATGGCTTCCTGGACCTCACCAGCACCCCTCCTTTACATCCCCACACCACGGGCAGCAAAAGGAAAGCAGGGCCACGATACTCTCTCCCATTCGGATATGGCAGTTCCACCGCATCAGGTGATTTCCATTTGTTACAAGAAACTTGTCAAGACCCTGACTCACAAGTCCCCATCATGGCTGCCTTGACCAAGGTCCAGATTTTGACAAATGAGGTGGACAGTGGACAATATCCAGTCGGTGTCCTATGGTTTCTCAAGCACAGTGATGTTTGCTATGTGGCTGAAGAGCTGCACCTCATAAGGCACCTTGGAGCAGGTGGTGAGGAAATGTGCCCAGGGAGGGAGGACAGCTTGGGAGGAAGTCCCAACAGACCCTCTACGTCCTCTACGTCTGCTCTCCTCGGGAACCTCCACAGAAAGCCCCCATGACACAGGACACACTCCCAGAGAAATGATGTGTATGTGCATGTGTGAGTGTGCATGTGTGTGCATATGTGTGCATGAGGCCACACTGTCCCAACCCACACAGTGCAAGGCCCTCTGCAGTCAGACCCCGTCCCCTAGTTAGCCAGCTACACAGCTGCAGCTCCGAGGCCAAAGCCCTTACTGAAGATCAGGATACAGGGAGAAACCATGTGCTCATGGCCTCTGTCCCCACAAGCCTAGTACCAAGTGGGCGCTGGGACGAGCCTGGAGATGGGCAGATAACCTGAGTCTATATGACCCAGTTCCGTCTTCCACGGACTATGGTTCTTCTACCCCACCTCCAGTTTGGACACATTAGGAGACTGAAAAATGAAGCTCTGATTCTGAGCTCAGAAGGTACAAGAAAGAGCTGTGGACACAGGTTGTTCAAATAAAAATGAAATAGGAGCGAAAAGTAAGGAGAGGAAGCGATGCCACGAGGGACTGTTGTCTAGCAGGAACACCAGCCCCAGTCTTCCCAGAGACTCCCACCAACACAGCCAGGGAGGCGGCAATGGGCACAACAGGAGAGCGTACGTGGTGTGAGGAAGGAGACCCACTCTGATCTCACATGAGGCCCTGCCCTGGCCTCGCCTTGCCTCGCCTCGCTTGCTGCAGTCACAGGTCCAGGCCCCCTCAGCTCTCTATGGGAAGATGGGTGCGAGGCAGAGGACAGGCCCAGGATGCCTGGTTTAACAGCTTGCCTCATGTGTGACAATTAAGACCCAACCTTCCTAAGTGAAGACGCTTTTGTGTAGGTCTAGAGAGAAGGTTCTGGGCTGTGTAGCCTCCCTGCACCTGCCTCACTTTCAGCTCACATCTCAGCAGTGGGTATTCTGTTCCTAAACTTCCATGGCTGCCTCGGGCTTGACACAACACTGGGCTGCTCCACCTCACTGCACCCACAGCAGGGCAATTGCCCATCAGCCCAATCCACTTGCCAGTCAGCAGACTCCCAAAGCCACCGGGGCCTCTGCCCAGGCTGAGTGGGGGCCGCTGCCCAGGGTGGGGACACAGTTAGAAGCACCTGGTCCTGGCTGTGGATGCAGCCACCCTGCCCCGGAGAATGTGAAAAACAGGACCATTTGGTCAGGCAGGTGTTCTCCAGACTCTTGTGCAAAATAAATGGACGCAATCGCAGGCCGGGGCAGCCTGACCTGGAGCTGGGTCCAAAGGCTGGTTCTGAAGGCTGCGCCAGGGGAGGCACGGAGGCTGAGGTGACATTCTAAACTACAGACTTGGAGGTGCTGAGGAGAGGAGAGGAACAAACAGCACTAGCCTTACAGCCTCAATTTCTCTAGACACTAAGACCTCTTAGCCCCCTTTTCTGGTCCAATTTAACAAAGACCTCTGTCCTGCCAGCAGAAATGCCAAGGAGCCTCGGGGCCTGGCATGCACAGGGGCACTGGACCCACGTTTGGGCCAGCTGCCTCCTGCTCGGGCCTGACCTTTACAGAACCACTGGGTTTGCTGACTCAGATTAAGGACCCATCTCCGTTCCTACTGTGTTTGCTACCCCATTTTATCATAGATTACCTAACAATATTGCAAATAAAAAACCCTCGACTTTTTCCTCCCACCATCCCATGAAAGGCAAACAAACCCATTTCTTTGGGGGTTAAAAAGACTTTTTAAATACAATAGTATGAAAATATAACTTAAAAATATAAAAGTCAACAGCATACGGAAGACTTAAAAATCTATGTTTTGCCCATTAGTCCCATAGGAAATAAACACATACTCAAAAGACATTAACATTGTGACATCTTGTAAAACCGACTTTAGAAATCAATAGTTATAAAAAGCCATTTTGAGTAAGAAAGCACTGTGGTTCCAACTCCATCAATGAGTGACTTTTAGCCCCAAACCTGTTATGTCTTCACTCCCCCCGCCCTGGGGAGGGGCTCCACCCAGTCTGTGTGCTCGTGAGCTTTTTCCTCATGGCCGCCCAGCCAGACACCCGACAGACACCCAGCCAGACACCTCACCTCGGGTCCCTCACAACACCACCGGGACGACAACAAAGGAAGAAAGCGCCTGGCTTGCATATTTGGTCAGTGTTTGTAGTGCAACTGAGTGGGGACCTCCAACAGCCGCGACCCGCTCGGCGCTGGCTCTTCCTTCCTCTCTGCAGTCACGGTCGCTGGGAGTGGGCAGAGCACGAGGACGGAGGTAGAAGAGGAGGGAGAGAGGAGGGAAGGAAGGAGGCTGCAGAGCAGCCGGGCCCCAGACCTGACCCGCAAGGATGTCATACAGGCAGCCCGAAACGGTGCTTCTTTTTCTTCGCAGACCTCAGAGGCGTCAGTCTGCGGAGGTCCTCCTCCACATCGGACTCCTCCATCTCGTCATCGGCCGAGATCAGAATCTGAGGAGTGGAGAGGCATGGCCCTGTGTCATGGCCAGCAGTGTGTGCCTCTTCTGCTGCCTGCCCTGGACCCTGGCACGGGGTGCCAGCCCCTCCAGGAGGCCTCCGGCTTGTATTTCTTTAAAAGAGCATTATTCCTTTACAGAGGGGGATTAGCTGGCCCACCCAACACACCTCCGTGGGCTGTTGAAACCATGGCTGTCGACACAAGCACGCCGAGCACCTCAGCCTGGATCACGAAGCCCTCGCCCATTGAGCTCAGACCTCTGCCTCCCCGTCATTCTGGCCTAGCCTCTGAATACCCGCTGCTCTGGCTGTACCCCCTATGACCACGTCTGCTCCTTCCTGTGCAGCTGCTGCCTGTAACTCAAGTTCACGGAGCTCCTACAGGACCGGCCCAGACCAGCTGCCAGGGTTCCCCGTCCTGCCATCTATTCCGCTTTCAGAACCCCTTCAGGAAGCCCAGGAGTGACATGGACCGCCCCAGGGTCCTCCCAGGGTTCTGCTAAGGCCTCACCAGCAGACCTTGTGGTCATGCTGAGCTGTCCAGGCACCGCCTTCTCCTCACCCCTATGGCGACCTCTCGGGGGAAGACACGCTCTCGGCCATTTCTGAAGCTCCTCGCAGCGCCTGGCAGCACCGTGGGAGCTGAACAAGGGCTCTCACGGGGCAGCCCGCCCCGCCGGCAGCACAGAAGTGGCACGTGGGTGCCGCCAGCTGCCTGGGACACCCAGCCTGGCCTCGTGCTCCTGTTGGGGACCAGGAGTCTCTCTCAGGCCCAAATCTTTAAGTTAGGAAACTTGAAAATAAGAGGAGATGAGGACCCCTACATTTTAGAAGTTTCCAGCTGGCTCAGCCAACACTTCCCTCGCTTATTAGTTATTCAGGGACTCAAACACTTGATGCTTAAAGACCCACGATCAGGGGAGAGTGAGAGTCCTTGGCAGCTTCCCTGGCACAAGGCAGTTCCTCCCTTTCCTATCTTTCTCCCCTGGGGTGGGGAGCCCGGGGGAAGCTCACGGGGCAGCAGGAAGGAGTCCAGGCGGAATGGGAACTGTCTCCCTCCCCCTGGCTGACGTGAGACCCCTCAGGTCAGCAGCATGAGCTCAACCCTACCTCTGACTCGGACTCCTCGTGGGATGCGGCCCTCCGGTAGCGAATCTTGCTCCCATTCCTCGAGTCCTGGTTGGCTCCCCTTTCTTCCAGTTTAGCTTTCGTCCTCCCCTTTCTCATGAGGAAATTGTCCACTACCCAGAACATCAAAGCCTGTAGGGAGGAAAAGTACAGGTTACTCGGGATAAGCCATGTGTGAAAGCAAAGCAGGGCAGCCCCACACCCTTGTCCTTCTACCCACTCCAATTACAGCACCGGAACTAGGGAAAGGAAAGCCTTATCCACCTCCCCTGCTGTGGCTTCAGAAGCTTAAAGAGAGATTCCTAATCTCTATTTCCTCTGCTTCCTCATCAGAGAAAACCCTGCCCTCTTTATCCCCAGGGTGGCTGTGGGGGTAACTGATGAGGCAGCCATCTATTAGACATCTGTCAAACCCAGGTTCCTTTACGATTTCTTCTCATATCTACAGCTAGCCGGTGTGCTTGGGAGTTTCTCTTGAAACTCTGTGGTGAGAATAGCTGACCTAATGATGCTGACCGAGAAGTTGCTGTCACACAGGTGGGAATCTCAGCGGGAGGCCACCGGGCAGGTAGGGGAGGACGAAGTCCCTTGGACCTTCTTCTTTGCACAGAGGCCCTGGGGCAGCCATCCCACCATGCCATTTCCAAGTCGGGTGGGGCTGGGGAGATGACAAATGCTCACTCAGAGGGACCTGAGAGCTGCCGGATGTTGGGACACCGGAAGGCAGGGCACAAACTGGGGTAAGAAAATGCAACATGGCACTGACATTGACGAAGAAGGGGACGATCAGCATGACAATGGCCAGCTTCAGGTCTGGGTTTTCAATGGGATTCAACAGGGACACCTGCAAAGAGAAGCAGACTCCGTGAGGTGGGGGGGGGGGGGGACAAAGAGAAAGTGCTTGGAAGCAGGGGCCCTGGGAGAAGACTTAGGTTAGACATTCACCGCAGCACCTCACACCCAGGGCTGCATAGTCCCCAGGTTTGAACACTGATGAGGGCCCTTCTGGAGACCTTCGGAGCAGTTAGTGCTCCCTGTGGTGTGGGCGTGGGCAGTGAGGTCACTACAGATCCCACCACTGAGGTGCCAGACCATTCTCTAACTGAAATCCTGCATCCCAGCCACCTCCTGGACAATAGCTCTATAACACCTTGATTTACTTTCTTAAAAAATAAAGCTCAGCCACAAATGAAGCCAAAGGATGGCAAAGCCACTTGTTTCCAAAGGCTCTTTGGCTGGTTTCACACGGGCATGTGGAGGATGTAGGCAGTGAAGGTGTACCTACATGGGCCTGGGGCCAGAGGGCAGAGGGCAGGGACAAGGGAACTTGGGAACAATGTGTGACCAGCTGCTGCCTCTGGCACCCAAAGGCTCAGTTAGCCTTGGCCAGGAGAGCTGTGTGAAGGCATTTGCAGAGGTAAAGAACACCTGCCTGACATTCAGTGTTGCAAGGCCTGAAGACTACTATCGGACAGGACTGTATTTTCACTGTATTTATATATGTATCCCATATGTAAAAAAACAACAACTGACTTGTTAGGTAGCTAGCAGCTGCCACATCAGACCAAATCAAGGGTCTATCTATGGAGCTAAAAACAAAAAAACAAACCACAAATTTGATTTTCCATATAGGGCTTGTGTGGCAAGGGGAAGAAGTACTGTCTTAGTGTCTTGGAGAGCTAATGAAGAGACAAGAGGCAAACCTTTTTCCACTGGAGTATCAGGATGATGATGAAGATGACAGCTTTTTCAAAAATCATGATCACGATGTACAGCGCACACTGGCCGACCCAGGCTCCACACTGCAGAGGGTCTCCTGCAGGGAGAGTGGGCGCTCGGTCACGGCAGCTCAGAGTGGGATCCAGGCAGTGATGCCCCGTTCCACTCCCCTCAGCACCCCGGGAGCCTTCCTCACAGCCCTGCCCCATGCCAGAACCCCGACTCTAAAGCTACTTAACCCTCAAAAGCACCAAGAATCATCTCTGCCTGGACCGACAAATGTGGGTATTTTAAACAAAACCAGAGAATTCCTAATTTGGAGATACCAGAGTGTCGTTTAAGAGATTCTAAGACATAATTAAAACGCACTAAAGTTAGTAAGTGCCAGTTGCTGGAGCTCAGAAGCCGGTTCTTTTCGTCCGCTGGCAGTAGAAGCTGTGTTAAGCAAGATTGCTATTATTACCCACTGTTGATTTTTCCAGTCACTGTGGTGCTGCACCCTCCCACCCCCACCATAAGCAGCCAACATTTTTGAATTATGAAGGCAGTAAATAATCTCCTTGTTCATCTCCCACCCCCTCTCCCTACTCCCCTGCTGCTTCAACCCTAAAAGCAGAAATGTGTCTCTGAAGGAATTCAGACTCTGTCTGGGATGGGGCACCCAGAACACTTTGGACTGGGAAACAGGACGTCCTCAAGGTCAGGAGAGATGGCCTGTGCCTTGGGGCTGACCAAGGGCCACTGAGGTCCCACTAGTCACTCTGCTTGGGAAGTGACAGAATCTACCAGTCCACCACAGGGGACACTCAGGCCCAGATGTGCCTCCAGATGTTTCTAAAGGGACTAGAAGGGTGGAGGACCAGCCCCTCCAGGGAGAGATCTACTTCCTCAGCAACAGGCAGGACCCACGGGATGGGCCTCTGAGGAGCAACACACGCCTCCCCAGTGGGAGACCCAGGGGAGAGGATGGGTGGGAGGAGGCTGCTGGCCAGAGGAGAGGGTGGAGAGTAACATTTCGGGGCAGGCAAAGGCCAGATCCAGCCTGAGGAAAGAATGTGGCTGAGAGAAAGCTCCAGCTTCTCATTCGATTCTATCGTTTTCGTAGCCATCCCTGTGCCGCACCCGCGCCGGAGGCCCGCAGCCTGCCCAGCCTGCTCGCTGCACCAGTGGAGGCGCAGGGAATGCCTTCGTGCAGCCGTCATGACACACCAGGCCATTCCCTTTTCTGGAAAACCCTGGGAGAAGCATGCAGAAAGCACGCAGAAGACATCATTGCCTCTTCTGAGGTCATCCTATCTACCTCCACTTCTGTGAGACGACACATGTGAGGCAAACCATCAGTTCAGAAGCACCATCTCATTCAGCTAGATCTTCAGGGGAATTTTGTAGTTCTACTACCTTTCCTTATGGAGAAAAGTTCTCAAAAACAACAGGTCAAAATATTTGTTAAAAACCGTTAAGTAAGACTGGGGACAGCCAGGCAGAAAGCACTGGAAAGAAATATCTCTGAATGGGGATGAGAGTGTTTAAGAGTCAACAGAGCAGCTGAGACCAGTTTGGCTCAGTGGATAGTGTCGGTCTGCGGACTGAAAGGTCCCAGGTTCGATTCCAGTCAAGGGCATGTACCTTGGTTGTGGGCACATCCCCGGTGGGGGGTATGCAGGGGGCAGCTGGTCTATGTTTCTCATCGATGTTTCTAGCTCTCTAGCTCTCTCCCTTCCTCTCTGTAAAAAAATCAATAAAATATGTGTTTTTTTTAAAAAAGAGTCAACAGAACAAGTGGCAACATTCACTCAGTATCTCAGAAACTGACTTGCTGAGAGTGTTTACTCCTTTTGCTCTTCAGTTTTAAGTGACTGACAAGAGGGACTGTTCTCTCATCTGCCTCCTGCCCCTCCGCTGCTCTGAGTTTCAGAGCCACAACTCAGCTGCAGCTGCCTGTTTTTCATTTAGGCACTTTAATAAGTGGAAAAAACATGGCCAAAAAGGAAAAAATCAAGTGTAACCACACTCTCACATCATTTCCTCCTGCTCATCATGAGCCCACGTGCTGATTTTTCTGATTTCTGTTCCATTTGAGAGTCTTATGTTCCCCGTGGTCTCATCCTTTAAGGACAAACAAGCCAGGCATTCTTGCTGTGTCATGCTTTTTACCACACTGGACATCCTCAGGTACATGGGATCCTTTGCTTTGTAGAATTATTTCCTCAGGATCAATTACAGGAAAGGGGCCAAGAGGAGGGACCACATCTGTATCTAGAGAGGTTTTGGAAGGGAGCGTTAGGGCAGGATAGGTGGCCAGGGCCACAACCACTGGTGCCCCTGGGACACAGACCTTGTTTTCAGGGCTTCTGCATGGGGAAGAGCAGCCCAGCCACCAAACTGCAGATGCCATGTATCGCTGGGATCCTGTCTCAGCCCTCAGGGCTGTGTGGCATTCCCCAAGTCCCATGTTCTTGTTAGCAAGTTCACCTTCTCTTCTAGGGACCATGGAAGCACCTAGAAGACAAGCCCCTCTTCCTCATTTACTGAGAAGAGAGCTATGGGGTCCATCTGGAATGACTGCCTCATGCGACGGCTGGTTGACAGGTGTGGCAGGTAGAATAATGGCCCCACAAAGATAACCACATGTTAGTCCTTGGAACCTGTGAACGTGCCAGGTAACATGGCAGAAGGGAATTAAGGCTGCAAATGGAATTGCTAGTCTGCTGACTCTAAGACAGAGAGAGTCTCCTGAAGTCTCGGGGGGGGAAGGGTGCAGTGTCATCACAAGGGCACTTCAGAGTAAAGGGACGTGGCAGAAGGTCAGAGTGATGGGATGCGAGAGGAATCAGCCTGCTGTTGCTGGCTCTGAAGGAGGAGGAAGGGGCCCCCAGCCAGGGACTGCAGGCAGCCTCAGAGGCTGGGAAAGGCCAGGAAAAGGATTCTGCTTTTAGAGACTCCAGAAAGAACCAGTCCTGCTGACACCAGAATTTCTGTCCATGAGTCCCATGTCTGACTTCTGAAATATAGAACTGTAAGGTAACAAGTTTGTGCTGTTTTAAACCACTAACTTTGTGATAATCTGTTATAAGAGCAACAGAAACAAAAGAAATTGGCAGAAATAGAAATCAGGTGACTGAGGACACACACTATCCTCCTGCACCTGGGATGGGAGGACTCGAGCTGGTCCGTGATCAGGGCTTCCTCTGGAGACACTCTGGTGAGATGACCCAAAGGCAGCAGTGGTGGCCCAAGGGCAAGGGCCAAACAGGTGAGAGGAGGGTAGCATGGAAACAGATTCAAACATCCACTGCCTTCTTCCTTCCAATCTACTCTTGGAGATGCAGAAAAAATACAATGGAACAGGTGGAACCATAATGCCTGGTGTATCAGGAACAGACCCGCTCTCCGCTCCCGGGCCACTGAGTGGCTTGCGACTGGCTGTGGTGGACTTCCTGGGCACTGGTAAGATTTTGTTGAGAATGCTGCCTTCAGAAGGATCTTAACAACACGGCAGCAGTTATGAGCACTGTTCTTGGAGGTGATGGGAGGTTTAGGAACCCAGAGTGGAAGGCGCGAGCTACTCACCCTTCCCTTCCCTCCCCCCTATTGGCAGGGGAGCTTCCTGTGTCACTCAACCCCTCAGGGTGCCTATCCTATGACTGAGGATGCTGCTGCCTTGGTCCACATGCGCTGTGTCCATTTCCACCTCCAAGCCGAGAGTCCATGACTCAGGGCTCCTCAGAGGCCTTCCCTGGAGCCACAGGAGCACACGTGTGTGTCGGACACTATCTTAGGTCAGTGACTCACCAGGCATCAGGTAACGAGGCTAAGAAAAGCCCTCCTCTGAGCTCACCTCCCCTCATTGGAGACAGACAATTACTAAGGTTTCTAGAAATACCCAGGCACTCATCTCAGCCTGCTCCCCGCACCAGCTCCCCCTTTGAAATGTCAGTCTCTAGTGAGCGTTGAGTCATGTAGGAGTGAGCAGCCATCGGGCCCAGGAAAGGAGAGGAGGACCCAGAATTCCACTTGTACTCCCTCCCTCGTGAGCTGTGTGCACCTTTCGCAGCAATGGTTCCACATATGCTATTACCACCGAGAACGGGAGCTCCTTCCTCCAGGCAGCAGGGCCAGCTGTGACGATGGAGGGAGCTGCTGTCCCCTGACCCTGAGTCCCCAGGCTGTGGCAGAGCCCGGAGAAGGCACTCTCGCCCGCAACCCCGTGGAGGCTGTTCTTCTGGGAGTGCAGAGTAAACGGCATTTGTGCTCAGGACCAGCATGGGCCGCCTCCTACCCAAGCTGAGTCCCATGCGGTCTGACACAATGCAAGGGGCTCAAAGCGGGGCCAGCATCCGTAAGTCACCTGTGTTAAGTCGCGTCTCTGTGAGTGAGGATGGAACTGGTGTCCTTGGTGACTGTACGTGTCGGATGCTGGGGGGAGGCGAGCCCATAGGAAGTAGCAAGAGACAGGCGTAGGAGGATGGACCTCCAGTCCTGAAGTTTTGACCCCCGTAATAAAGTGGCCCAAGGAGAGAACAAACAGAAAGTGGGGCAGCTCTCTACTGAGCACATCCAAACCAAGAGCCACCCCCATCTCTAAGGAGGTAGCAGCTTGGCCCAGTGCGGTGGCCCCATGGCTCTGTAGGTGGGCCACCAGTGCCCTCTGGTGGAAGAGTCCAGCGCTGTCCCCCTCTCTGCATTTAGTGCGTCTCCTGCTACAAGGCTGAAGCCAAGCAGTGAAGTGAGCATCCACATACCCCAACACGGGGCACTCTGACACTGGCGGGAGGATGGCACTTGGGACCAAGAACAAGTCCCTCCACCATGGAAGAGACAGCCACCAGCTCCTGAATCTTCTTTGAATCCACTGGCCTGGAGGGCTGCACAGGGCAAGGAGCCCCTCTAGGAATCCCCCATGCCCCGACAGTGTCCATGGTACGTTACCATATTCGCCAAAACGCAGGGACTCCCACTGCTGCCACTCCACCAGGACGCTGACGGCACGCACCCCCAGATAGATGAGCAGCATGCCCACGGTGGCGTCCAGGAGGAAGTTGATGAGGTACCTGTGAGGAGAGGGCACAGTGGCACCATCAGGGAGCCAGGGCCGGAGTCGGCCCTGTGTGCTGACCAGGGCCAGTGTCAAGGCTGACGGCCCCGCACTCTGCCTGGCCTTGCTCTGGAGACTGGGGGCAGAGAGCCTTCGATGTGCCTGAGCAGGAGACCACAGTGCTCTCCTCTGGGGGCCCCGGGGATGTGCCCATGCAGTGTGCGGCCACTCTTCAGGGGCTGGACAACTTGAGGGAGGGGTAGAGGAGACAGAGAAACTTGAAAGATCACAGTGCTTCTGCCAAAACAAAGAATGGAAACAGCCACTGAAGTCAATAGGAAAACAGAACTTAATAAAAAGATCTGCTCCCTGATTGTCCAACCCATCCAAGGCCCCGTCAGTGCCACGGCACCAGGCAGCTCAGAAATGGCCTTGGGGGAGCGGGTAATCTAAGACCAAAGAGGGCAGGGCCGCACAGCCTCACTCACCATGGCGACAAGTGCACATCAGGATTTCTAAGGAGAGAGCTTTACTTCCCATGGAAAAGGCCAGATGATGGAGAGGGGAGGTGAGAGGGAGAAGACCAAGCCCACCTTGACAACTTTCTCATCACGTCTGTTTCCACCTGTCTGACCTCTGGCCCTCCCTTGAGGGCCCTGCACCAAGATCTCTCCGGGCACCGCTGGCCACAGGCCCCAGCTCTGTAGACAGACCGCAGGAGACAAGCAGTCGCCGGGTCAGATGCCACATGGCTCAAAACCCCCAGAGAAGCTCTGGACTCCACAGACCACCTGCGGTGCTTTCGAGCTGCTGAGGCTTGAGGCCGTTTTATGCAGACCCAGCCTCCCCACAACGCCCCCAGGCCCGGGCTAGGGTGACATGCACAGCCCTCTGACACCAGAGGGTGGCCACTCTGCTCGGTGTGGTCAGGGTCCTGGAGTGGCCAGGAAACCAAAGGGAGGGGCAGCATTGTCTCCCGCCTGCCCTTCCCTCGAAAATCACAAGGGGTCACTCTCAGACCAGAGATGGGAGGAACAGCAACTGCTTCCAAGACAATTTCTCCACATTCACAGCCCCAGGCTAGGCTGCCCTTAGATGCTCACATCTGATTGGCTCCAAGTGGTTCTCACATCTGAGAATCATCCTGAAAATAGTGAGAACACCTACCCCACATTGCAGGCATGCCTCAATTCATTGTGTTTCACAGAGGATACATTTTTTACAAACTGAAGGCAACACCCTCCACCAGCAAGATTACCCCTGGCTTTATTGTGATACTTGCTTTATTGTGGGGGCCTGGAACCGAGCCTGAGTATCTGAGATGTGCCTGTGCGTGTGTTAGTTCACTTGTTCCCTCACAAAGTATTTATGTGAGGCCTTGGGATAAAGACAGAAACCTCTATACTCTGAACCCAACACAGGTGAGGTGCCATGCAGTCAGGGTTGTGTGGGGCCAGGGGATCCTAGCTCCCTCACTCTTTCCTGTGAGCTATAAAGGAGGATAATCCAAGTCTCGATGCTGCAGGGCTGTTATGAGGATCAAATGAGTCAATAGAGAGAGCACCTGCCACACAGTAAATGAGCAGTAGACAGAGAACAGCAGCACCTCAGAGGCACTGAACCCTGGATGTCAGAAACCCTGGATCTCCCACCCAAAGCAGCATCCCTAATGCAGAGGACCCCTAAGCCACAGGAAGCAGCTCATCCCTCTGTTTCTCCTCTTCCTGAGCTGAAACCGGCTCCCCTTCTAGGTCTGCAGACTCCCAGGATGCCCCAGGTCTAACCCAACCCTTACTCCGCCTGTGAAAAGTCACAGGACAAAGCAAAGATGGCCTGGTGTAAACCCCAGGGCAGCATCCGTTCTACCTCCAGGCCCAGGCTTTGCGATGCACACCCTCTGACACCAAGGGGTGCATACTCTGCTGTGCAATCAGCGCCCTGGAGAAGTGAGAAGACCGGAGGGGGGCACCTCTCATTCCCCAAGCAATGCCTGCTTTGCCTTCTAGTCTCCCACCCAGCCACTCCTCAGTGACTGCTGGAGCTTTCGTGTCTTCCCGAGGTTTTAACAATATCCTCCAACTGAGCTATTCACATCTTCACTGGTAAGCGCCCCTGTTGTTTCAATGGCGCTATACTCATCTGATGATGAGAGCCTGATCCTGGTAGGATACACAGGACAGAGGAGGAAACTGAGGCTCAAAGGAAGTTAAGCCACCCTCCCACAGTCTGGCCTCTCAATCAAATGTGCTTTTCATCACCTCAAGGCCTATCTAGGATCCTTTTTCCTGCAGGTCACACACTCGAGGTCTGTCAACAGCCCCTTCCTCCATCCTGGCTGTGGGTCAGTTTGTCAGTGTCCTGCTTAACGCCAATTCACCTTCTTTTTGTTGATGCAAGGGGGAGTGATGTGACCACACCGCACCAGGGGTTAGGTTTTCCAGCCCCAGTACCTCTAGGACTCAGAGCTGGCTCTCAGACTACATCCATGACTCACCAGAGGATGGCATGGGCTTGCTGCTGGGCTCAAGGACCAGAAGGACAGGGCCCTTTCCTAACTATCTCCCCTGCAGGACAATCACCCTTCTAGTTCCCAGTTTTGGGACAACATCCAAACATCCAAACAGATCACAACCTTACCCAGGTCTTACTAAAACTGCACATAGTCACCAAAAAAGCAGCTCAAAAGAATCTTCTAGTCCAAATGGTCTTTTTTTTTTTTTTTTTTTTAATAGCATAGGGTATATATATATATATATATATATATTGACATTTTACAGAGAGGAAGGGAGAGAGATAGAGAGCTAGAAACGTCAATGAGAGAGAAACATCGACCAACTGCCTCTTGCACACCCCCCACCGGGGATGTGCCCGCAACCAAGGTACATGCCCCTGACCGGAATCGAACCCGGGACCTTTCAGTCCGCAGACCGACGCTCTACCACTGAGCCAAACCGGTTTCGGCTCCAAATGATCTTAAATGTACAAGAAACCCCTTGGTAAGACTTATCAGACTTCCACTCCCCTCTTCCATAGAGTCAGGGCAGGACTGGAGGGCATTCCAGGCAGAGGGCAGCTGGCAAATGCAGAGGCAGAAGACAGCTGGCAGGGTTGAGAGCCACCAGGAGTCGCTCTACCATGGCTGAAGCACCAAGTCTGAGTCAGGAAGGTAGTAGATGGAGTCAGGATAAGACAGGTGAGCCTCCCTTCCCACTCCACCTGCTAAGTGAGAGAGGTGCTGTCAGCAAGGAGGACAGCGTATGATGGCCCAACGGGGGTTTGAGGCAGATTGCTCTGGGGCTGTGTGGAAGGCACACTGCACTGACAAGGTGCAACAAGCTATGCTCTTTGGGTCAAGAGGTCAAAGATGTGTTCACCAGTGGCTTTGAACCTGAGTGGCTGGCATCAGAGAAGCCCCGTGTGTGTCCTGTCCCAGCACAGACACTCCTTTAAGGCATGGTGCTGCCCAGCCGGGAAGATGGGAGACATACGGGTACCAGAAAGCTGAGAAACAGAACTTAGATTAATCAGCAGAACTCAGATCTCTTGGAGGAGCAGAGGACAAAGCAAGCTGCCCCTCCCTGAGCGAGAGGAAACACGGCTGGCAGCAGAAAGACATTTTTAGTGATGGGACAGGTGATGTTTATACTCAAATATGAACCACTTACAGTGAACAAGGGTCCTCTTCCGTGAAATCCGCTAGGTATACATTGGCAAAGTGGATGAACAGCATTCCTATGGCTTGTTTGGAAGTGTCTAGAAACCTGTACAAAATACGATTGGCACTTGTGATCATACTGACAATATAGTAACCAATCTGGGAAAAATGCTAAGTCTGAAGTAGGAAAAAAGCCACTGGAAGACCCCAACTTCCCATTACCAATCACCTCCTCCTGGGCCATCAGTACTAACCCAGGCTTGGTGATTCAGCTACTTTTCAAAACCCTCAATAACACTGCACTCAAATCCCTAAAAGGCCACTGATTAATAACATACAGGGTAAGTGAAAGTAGATTTACAGTTGCTCACATGGAAAATAATACAATAATTAATAAATAGTAATACAAGAAAAAACTTTCCCATACTCACAACTGTAAACCTATTTTTGCTCCATCTTGTATATTTAAACACATGCAACACATTTCATATATGTTTTTACTTTTTCATGTTCCGTTACTTTAAAATGAAATGTTTGATCTCAGCTTTGCGGTGAAGTGCAAGTGCCTCTATATTAAGGAGCTCCCTCTCAACCCCACTAGCACTGAGCTAAGGCTGTGCAGGGCTAAGCAGCCCGCCCAGGTCCAGGTCTGGCGCTGAAGCCGAGCCACCGTCAGCTGCTGCTGGAGAACAACAGACAGGGTCAGGGGTGGGCAGGCCTTTTCTGTGAAGGGTCGGAGAATAAATATTGCAGGCTTTGTGGGCTGTTGTTCTCTGCAGCAATCACTCCACACTGTCACTGTAGCCTAATAGTAGCTGTAGTCACTACCATTCCTATAAGACTTTATTTATGAAAATAGACAGTGAGCTAGAATGGGTCTGCAGGCCACTGTTTGCCCATCCCCAGGCTAGGTAACTGTCTCCTTGTGAGTGACTTCGTTTTTGGAGTTCTGTCTATAGAAGCTATGTCTGAGCTTCACTGCCATTTTTATGGAGGGAAAACTGTCACCACAGGGTCAACTAAGGACCAAGAAAGACTAGCTTAGGGAAGAGGAGCATTTACATGGAGCATCTGACTAATCTCCAAAGTTAGATTATTTTTTGCTTGTGCATATAGACTATAGAACCTGAGGGCTTAACAAAATATAATAGGGAGCCGTAACAATGCAGCCTGCAGCCCAGAAGCATGCCTCTGTGTTATTTCCCACCTTCTAAAATCAGACAAGAGAACAAAGGCAGGGCTCAACATGCATCTGAGAAATGGAAATGCTTTCATTTCCATACTAGTTCCTAATGATTAATTCATTAAGGGAGTCCAACACTTGGTTATGTATAATTGCTCACATACCCCCTCTCCCTCCCCCAAACTGTCAAAACCATTCTAGGAATGAGCTAATATTTAAATACCTACCATATCCTCCACGGACGTCTTTCATGCTTTGGTTCTCGGAAGCGTTTGACTGAAAGAAAAGATGGACATTCAGAAGCTTTCCGCAGTGATAACAAAGCTAAATGTGCACACAGTGCCTACAATGTCAAGTTAAGGTACGTGCTCCCTAAGCTGTGAAGGTCACAGGGGCCCTGTATTGCTGCTGACTGGGACAGACTCTGCAGGACTGGGCACTTAGGAAGAATGACTCCTCAGTGTGCAGAAAATTGTATTTTCTTATTTATTTATTTTTATTTTTTTGCGATAGGGCTCTTGGGAAATGACAAAGAGGGATGCAGCTACTGCTGACTTCAGGATGCTCTACCCAACGACATGTCCAGCCATCCACCCAAAGGTTCACTGCCAGCCACTGTGGAGACCCAGGCAAAGGCAGCGGCTCAGCAGGAGGGCAGGCACATGACCAATGTGTGGCAAGTGCTGGGGAAGAGGCAAGCTCGGGGCAGTGTGAGAGCTTGAGGGAAGGCTGACCAGCCTGCTTGCATGGAAGAAGGGTGCAGGTGGAAGAGGCGGCGCTGCTGGGAAGGGAAGCTCCTGAAGGCTGGGCTGGAGTTTAGCAAATGGATCAGGGAGGGGAGAGCTATGTTCTGGACAGAGCATACACCATCAGCTCATAGGTACAGGGCTGTCACGTGGCAGAGGGTGTGTGTGGCATAATTTGATTTGGCTTTGATACAGCAGGTAACAAGGGAGACAAATGAGCAGGGGCCACATGAGGCCAGGCTAAGGAGTCTGGACTGAATCCTGTATGAGAAAAATAAAAGAAAGTGGGGGGGGGGGGGGACGGGAAATACACTAAGCAAAGTCAAAGATATGGTGGGAATTGTGTTTTGGAAAAGTGGCTCTGAACTGGGTAGATTCAGAATTGGGTTCCTGGGGTGGAGAGGGCTGAGGAAGGACACTGGCTATGTCACAGACCAGACAGTGGACTCCCAGCTACAGAACAGCCAGCAGGGGTGAGTGATCACTCAGCAACAGCCTGACCCCTTCACTTGGGTGTACAGACACAACCGTTTGAACAGAGGAAACCAAAGGTGTCTGAGTGCCCTGTCCTCCACTGAAGCTCCAGGCAGACTATTTCCACAGGATTCTATCTACTGAGACAAACATGGAGAGTGTGCACATGTGATGTCCCACACACAAGTACCGGGAAGAAGCAGATATGGATGCAAGCCCATGGGGGAAGAGGGCCTGTGGAGGATGTGGGTCCATGGAGGATGCGGGTCCATGGAGGTTGTGAGCCCACAGGGATGGAAGCCCACGGAGGATGGAAGCCCACGGAGGATGCAGGTCCATGGAGGATGGAAGCCCATGGAGGATGCCGAGTTACCACTGGCAGCAGGCAAGTATCAACTCTGGCAGAGCCCTAAGCTACCAAGGAGGGTGCGGGGAGGAGGGAGACAGGGAGGGAGAAAACAGCACCCAATCAATTAACCTGACTTCTCTAAATGAATACAGGCAATCCGCAGTATGCAAAACAAGGACTATCTGTACACAGAAATGACATAAGTCTGGTGTTTAGAGAGACACTGTGATAGAGAACAAAAAGCAGGTGGAATTATAAGGTGGTCTGCCATTCTGCTGACACATCACTCATGCAGAATATCAACAATGCTCAAGAAACTGCTTGCGCAAATGCCTTCTGAGGCAGGAGGCCTTCCCACAAGCACCCTCGTCTCACCAATGGGCTGTGCTCAGCAAGGAGTTGTGCAGGAGACTAAGCAATCTGGAGGGAAAGCCCCAGTCAGGGCTGGAGCCATGTCATGCTCATTTGTTTTCTGCCTCAGGGGAATGTGTCCCCATTAGTATAAAATAAAGGGCATTGAAACGTATCCCAGTAGAACGTCATTTCCCCCCTTCCTCCATTGATTTTTAGACAGAGTGGAAGGGAGCGGAGAGACACATCGATTGGTTGCCTCTCGCTTGTGCACCCCAACCAAGGGATCGGGCCTGCAATGGAGGCACATGCCTTTGACCACAATCGAACGTGGGACCCTTCAGACCTCAGGCCGGCGTTCTGTCCACTGAGCCAAACTGGCTTAGGCACATCCTCATTCTTAGGACACAGTGAGAATAAGGAGAGAGGCTTGGAAGAAACCAAACCTGCCAACACCTAGACCTGGGACTTCCAGCCTCCAGATGGTGAGAAAATAAATTCCTGTTGTTTAAGCCACCCATTTTGCAGTATTTTGTTATGGCGGCTTTAACAAATGTGGCAACAATAACTGGTGAGCCTAAATGAAGATTATTGGTGTATTCATTAAATTACTAGACTTTTCTATAGATGTAACACTTTTTGAAATAAAAAGTTGGGAAGGAAACATACTCTAGAAGAATGAACTATGAGCCTATTCGGAGGTCATTTGGCAATATCTATCACAATATTACATGCCAAGCCCTGCAACCTGCCATGCACTGCCAGGGATGTGTTCTATAGGTATTACCACAATATGTGCCAAGATGTATAGGGATCTGCTCTGTAATATTGTCGAAACAAAAACCCAGAAAGAAATCAATGCCCGGCTGGGCACATACATCATGGCACAACACAATATTAGGCAGCTACTGAAAACAAGGCAGGTCTGTATGGAACAATATAAAATATTTCCAAATAATAATAATTGTTATTATTATTATTATTTGGTTAATCACAACCCAACGATATTTTTCCCAATGATTTTCAGAGAGAATGGAAGGGAGGGAGATGATGGAGAGGTGGAGGACAAAGGTAAGAGAGAGGTGGGGAGAAGAGAAACATCGAAGTGAGAGAGACATGCACTTCAACAGGGGCTAGGGATTGAACCTGCAACCCAGATATGTACACTTGACCAGGAATTAAACCCGTGACCTTTCAGTGCACAGGCCAATGCTCTATCCACTGAGCCACAGTGGCTAGGGCTCCAAATTATATTAATAGCATAATAACATTCCCATCATAACTCTGTTCATGTCCATTTTAAAGGATACATATTTATGCTAGTATTACATGTGTTCCCCCCCCCCAGAAGGACATGAGATTATTAATAAGGGCTACGTCTGATTAAAGGACTGGGAGGAGTACACTTTTTATGTCATTGTGAATGGCTTAAAACATTCTTTCATATTCACATTGCTTTTATTTCAAAAATTCTAAAGTAAAAGAGAAACCTGTTTCAGAGACTTTGCCTGATGCAGCAGAGTGGGATCTGGGAGAGGCTGTGGGACTCAGGGCTGGGCTCTGGGACAAGAAAAGAAGAAGGCGGTGTGCATGCCGGTCATGCTGGGGAGCAGCCTCATGGGCACCTGAGATGGAATTCAGGGTGGATTAGGATTCTCGCAAGAGCAGAAGTGAGGTGCCGATGGCTCTCCATCTACCATCCCCTCTCCCCAAAATATATTAGTTTAAAAAAAATTTTTTTTAATTTAAAGGAAGAAGAAACATTAAAAGAGCTATTCCACATCTAACTTGATAGGGGGAAAAACAAAGAAAATGTGTTTGTCTCTCCATGCACATTTTATTGAGGGGCCTGCTTCATCCATTTGGCCAGAGATGAAGCAGACAAGACTCTCAGCTTCCTTACATTCGGGGGGGACAGGGGAGTGAAAGTGGAGCATGTCAGACTGCGACAAGTGACTGTAAGGTAGAAAGGAGAGAGGAGGGCTGGGAAATGGTACCCACAGCATGGCCATGTCATCTCTGAGCCACTCTACAAGCCCTGCTGCACTGAATGTCCTTGCCAGGTGCCACCTCTGCCTGAGTGAGTCCTTCTCAGTGGTGGGCTTGCTGCATCGGCCGTGACAGCTGATTCTATCACATGCTCTCCACAGCAGTTGTACATTTCCCCACATCCTTGCCAGCATGTAGTATTAGGGAACCTTTTGCCTTGGTAATTTGATCACTGAAAAGGCCACCTCAGCATGGTTGCAGCGTGCACTCACCGGGGCACTTGGGTACCAGGACACCTGCAGCCAGCCATGTGGGGCTGGCAAGGCTCCCACCTGCCCGCCCCTTTCGCATACACTCTCGGCTCCTCCTGCTCTGGGCCCCAGCTCACACCCTTCCCTGAGGTGCCACACAACAAGACGGCAATTCTGGATTACCCCCAAGTCTACCTTCTCAGCCATCCTGAGAAGGCTCACCACAACAGTGGTTCTGGGGGCCCAGAGAGATGTCTCCTTCGTCTTAACAGCTCCTCCCGAACCTGGAGCTGGAGCGCTCTGAGCACGGCCTGTCCTGCTAAAACCTACCAGTGCCCACCCCACCGCCCTGCCTTGGAAACACGTTCATACGTTTTAAGTTGGAAAATAAGGTCGCCCTGCTTGGCACCTCCCATCTTCGTGCCGCCACTTTCATTGCCCCTTTGGCTTCGAAGGACACTCACATTTTCTCTCTTGAATAACTCTTAGGCATCCTTCCAGTTTTAGTTCAGACAATTCTATGCTACTTTTGGATTAGCACTTCGAATGCAACTCTAAGGATTTGTCTGACTCTCCCACAAGATAATTAGTTACAGAGGCAGAGAGGAACAAAGCAGACTCCTACTAACCTGAATAAATGGAGAATACATGAGAAGAACAAAGGGGGAAGTAAGCGCTGTAAGACCAGGGATTTCTGCTCTGTTCACCCCTATATTCCTAGTGCCTCAAGGGTGCCTGGCTCTTAACAGTAGCTGGGAATTCATTCAATGCTGTATCTATTGAGTCCTGCCCAGGTATTTATTTTTAGTTCAATCAGTTCCATGAATTTGCACAACAGGTTCTCTCAGAGCTTAGTGGGTAAGCCATTATTCCTGCAACAGGACTAAAACTACTTAGTCCTCTCTGGTTTTAGATAGTAACCTGCCAGTAAGAGTGCTAGAGCACAACCAGCCCAAACCTGTCTCCCTCTTAACCAACCACAAGGCAGGGCGAACTGGCCCCTCCAGTCTCCCTCCCTCACTATATCTGGCAGTAGATGCAAGAACCAGACAATTTGGGTTTGTAGTCAAAGTACTTGCAACCAATTTTTGGTAAAGACTTGGCTATTTTTGGACC